AGGAGGATCGCTTGAGTCCAGGAGTTTGAGGTTGCTGTGAGCTAGGATGACGCCACGGCACTCTAGCCCGGGCAACACAGTGAGACTCTGTCTGGGGGGGGGCGGGAAGTGCCTCCTGGGCCGGGCGTGGTGGCTCACGCCTATAATCTTAGCACTCTGGGAGGCCGAGGCAGGAATATCCCTGAGCGAGACTGTGTCTCTACTAAAAATAGAAAAATTAGCCAGGCATTGTGGTGTGCGCCTGTAGTCCCAGCTACTCGGGAGGCTGGGGCAGGAGGATCACTTGAGGCCAGGAGTTTGAGCTTGCTGTGAGCTAGGCTGACGCTATAGCACTCTAGCCTGGGCAACAGAGTGAGACACTATCTCCAAAAAAAAAGAAAGAAAAAAGGAAAAAAAAACAAAAGCGAAACTGTTAGTGAATATTCACTGGAAGGATACAGACTCTCTACACATAAAAATAATAAATGTATCAAAGGAAAAGAATTATACCAAAAATTATTTTTGTAGGTCTAAGTTGATCATCATAATAAAAAACACAAATGGCAATCTGGCATATACTTGTAACAAATATGACAAAAGGTGTTTATATCAACACATAAAGTGATTTTACAAATCAGTAATGTACTAAGTCTTTGATGAATAAATGAACACCTATTAGGATTAATAGGTTTAGGTCTATAATCCATTTCATGTTAACTTTTTTTAATTTGGAGCTAAATAAGGTTCAAGATTCTTTCTTTCTTTTTTGCATATGGATGACTGTAGAATAGTTAACACATGAGGTCTGAGACTGCTTATCCTTAGAAGGCCTGCTTGTAAGGCCTTGCAAACTGCTGGCTGAAAACTTGGCTGGTGAACAGTTCCCTACACTGACACAAAGCTTTCCCTAAATGACAAGAGAAGCTCACCGTGCCTAAACCATACAAACAATGTGGTTTATGCCAAATAGAGGCAAACCTTATTTTATTGCACTTTACTGCATTTTGCAAATATTAAGCTTTCACAAATTTAAGGTTTGTTGCAACCCCGCATCAAGCAAGTCTATCTGCACCATTTTTCCAACAGCATATGCTCACTGCACGTCTCTGTGTCACATTTTGATAATTCTCATTATATTTCAAAATTTTCGTTATTATTATTACATTTGTTGTGGTGATCTGTAATCAGTGATCTGTGATGTTACTATTATAATTGTTTCTGGGAGCCAGGAGCCACACAATCATACAAGAAACTTAACCGATAAATGCTGCATATGTTCTGGGTCATCCCCTGCCCCTCCCCCCATTATCCCCACTCTCCTTGGGCCTCCCTATTCCCTGAAACACAATAATATTAAAATTAGGCAAATTAATAACCTGACAATGGCCTCTTAAGTGTTCAAGTGAAAGGAAGGGTTGCATGTCTCTCACTTTAAATCAAAAGCTAGAAATGATTAAACTTAGTGAGGAAGGCAGGTACAAAGCCAAGACAGACCAAAAGCTAGGCTTCTTGCACCAAAGAGGCCTCTTGCAGCCAAGTTGTGAATGCAAAAAGTTTTTGAAGGAAATTTAAAGTGCTACTCCAGTAAACACATGAATAATAAGAAAGCAAAACAGCCTTATTGCTGACATGGAGAAAGTTTTAGTGGTCTGGATAGAAGATCAAACCAGCCACAAAATTCCCATAAGCCAAAGCCTAATCCAGAGCAAGGCCCTAACTCTCTTCAATTCAATTCGATGAGGCTGAGAGAGGGGAGGAAGCTGCAGAAGAAAGGTATGAAGCTAGCAAAGGTTGGTTCACAAGGTTTAAGGAAAGAAGCCATCTCCTAACATAAAAGTGCAAGGAGAAGCAGGAAGTGCTGATGTAGAAGCTGCAGCAAGTTATCCGGAAGATGTAGCTAAAATAATTGATGAAGGTGGCTAAGCTAACCAACAGATTTTCAATGCAGACAAAATAGCCGCCTACTGGAAGAAGATGCTATCTGGGACTTTCATATAGCTAGAGGAGAAGTCAATGCTTGGCTTCAAAGCTTCAAAGGACAAGCTGACTCTCTCATTAGGAGCCAATGCAGCTGGTGACTTTAAGTTGAGGCCAATGTTCATTTATCATTTGGAAAATCCTGGGGCCCTACATACTCTGGCCAGATGTGCCCTGGCCCTCCATTTCTCCCCTCCACCCCCTGCTGCTGCCCTTCCCCCACCTGGACCGCCTCTTCCTCTGGCTGCACACTCTGCCCTGGCCCCTTTCAGGAAGCCAGTCTCCCCTGGTGGCCCCGCCCAGAAGTGCCCCCTCCGTCCTCAGATCTCCTGTGAAATCTTCACCATTTCTACCCCAAACACACGCTACACTGGGTGACAGCACCCTGAGGGACTCACGGTAGAGCAGTTCCGCTAAAATTGTTTGCCTGAATGAAGTTATTCGCTGAGCCATGGAGTATCCGTGGGGCACCTGCTGGCACTGCCTGGGCCCTGGGGCATGGCCGAGATCAAGATGGGGGCACTTGCCTTCAAGGGTGGGCTCTTATCATGCCAGGGGACAACTACCTGAGTGAATTTTGGCCCTCTCGGAGGCCTTAGCTACTTTCCCCAGTGCCTCTCCAGACTCCAGTGTCCACCACCCCAGGGCTCCTAAGCAGCCACCCCGTTTTCCCAAACCCCACAACCGCCTGCCATCTGAATCCACAGGGTAGGTGTGCACACAGGCACCTGGGCATGGGACCTGCGGCCAGCGCATTCGCATGTGCCAGTGCCCAACCTGGGCGCACACTGGTGCTGGGGGCCCCGACCACACCCCCAGCCTCTGCACTAACTGCTCCTGGCTCCCGGCGCACCGTGCTCCCGTTGTTTAATTTTGCCAAACACCGAGTCTCAACCCCATGTTAACTGGTTTTACTCCAGTCTTTTGTGCCACCCATTAAACGAGGAAATGCCACCCATAAAATTTTAATTTAAAAAAAAAAAAAAATCCTGGGGCCCTTAAGAATTAGGCTAAATCTACTCTGTCTATACTCTATAAATGGAACAATAGACCCTGGATGACAGCATATCTGCTTATAGCATGGAGTACTGAATATTTTAAGCCCACTGTTGAGACCTATTGTTTAGAAAAAAACATTCCTGTATTTTTTATTTTTACTTTTTGAGACAGGGTCTTGCTCTGTTGCCCAGGCTAGAGTGTAGTGGCATCATCATAGTTCACTGCAAGCTCAAACTCCCAGGCTCAAGCAATCCTCTTGCTTCAGCCTCCTGAATAGTTGGGACTACAGGTGTACACCGCCACACCTGGCTAATTTTTTAAATTTTTTGTAGAGATGGGGTTTCAATATGTTGCCCAGGCTGGTCTTGAACCCCTGGCCTAAAGCAATCCTCCTGCCTCGGCTTCCCAAAGTAGGATTACAGGCATGAGCCATCTTGTCCAGCTAGTTCACTGAATATTTTAAGCTCACTGTTGAGACCTAGTGCTAAAAAAAAAAAAAAAAAAAAAATTCCTTTCAAAATACAACCGCTCATTGCCAATCACCAAAGAGCTCTGATGGAGATTAATGTTGTTTTCATGCCTAACACAACATCTGTTCTGCAGCCCGTGGATCAAGAAGTAATTTCCACTTTCACGTCTTATTATTTAACAAATACATTTTGTAAAGCTACAGCAGGCATAAATAGTGATTCCTCTGATGGATCTGGGCAAAGTAAATTCAAACACTTCTGGAAAAGATTCATCATTCTGGATACTATTACAAACATTCATGATTCATGTGAAGAGGTTGAAATATCAACATTAATAGAAGTCTGGGAGAAGTTGATGCTAACTAACCCTCACGGAGGATTTTGAAAGGTTCAAGATGTCAGTGGAGGAAGTAACTCCAGATGTAGTGGGATTAGCAAAAAAAATTAGAAGTAGAGCCCAAAGATGTGACTGAATTGCTGCAATCTCATAATGAAACTTGAATGGATGAGGAGTTGCTTCTTATGGAGGAGGAAATAAAGTGATTTCTTAAGATGGAATCTACTCCTGGTGAAGATATTGTGAAGACTGTTGAAATGAAAACAAAGGATTTAGAATAATATCAACTTAATTGATAAAGCAGCAGAAGGGTTGGAGAGGATCAACTCCAATTTTGGAAGCACTTCTACTGTGGGTAAAATGGTATGAAACAGCGTCACATGCTACAGAGAAATCTTTCATGAAAGGAAGACTGAATTGATGTGGCAAACTTCACTGTTGTCTTATTTTAAGAAACTGCCACAGTCACCCCAATCTTCAGCAACCACTACCCTGATCAGCCAGAAGCCATCAACGTCAAGGCAAGATTCTCCATCAGCAAAAAGATTACAACTCACTGAAGGCTTGGGATGGTCATTAGTATTTTTTTTTTTTTTTTAGCAATAAAGTATTTTTCTTTTTTTATTTGATTTTTTTTAGACTATGTTGCCCAGGCTAGTCTTCAACTCCTGGGCTCAAACGATCCTCCTGCCTCAGTCTTCCAAAGTGCTAGGATTACAGGCATGAGACACCACACCCAGCCAATAAAGCATTTTTAAATTTAATGTACAATTTTTTAGACATGTTATTAAATATTTAATAGACTACAGCATAGTATAAACATAACTTTTATATGCACTGGGAAACCAAAAAATTTGTGTGACTCACTTCACTGTGATATTTGCTTTATTATAGTGGTCAGGAACCAAACCTGCAATATCTCCAAGGTATGCCTATATCATTTTTCTTCTAGGAGTTTCGAATTTTGGTATATGCCAGGTAAAAGGTGCCTATGTGACCAGCCCAAATAAAAACTTTGGATGCTAAGTCTCTAACAAACTTTTCTATAAAAGAAGACTTCTGGGTTTTAGTTAGGATTTCACTGAACCTATAGATCTACTTGAGACTTAAAATATTACTGATATTGACCATTTTAATCTGTGAACATGGCATACTGTTTATTTATTCTTTAACTTCTCTAATAGTTTGAGGTTTTCAGTGTACATATGTTACACATAATTAGATTTATCCTTAAGTACTTCATTTTATATCTATTTTGAATATTATTTTATTTCAATTTTTCATTATTCACTGCTAGTATATAGAACTATACTTGATTCTTCATGATTATTGATCTCGGATCCCATAACTTTACTAAACTCAGTTTTTTTGTAGATTCTTCGGTATTATCTATCCTACGCAAATCAAGATAACTTTACTTCTTCCTTTTAAATCTGTATGCCATTATTTCTTTTTCTTGCCTTATTGCATTGGATAGAATCTCCACTACAATATTGAATAGAAGTGTTGCAAACAATTATCCTCGCTCCTGATCATAGGGAAAAGCATTAATTCTTTTACCATTTATAGTAGGTTTCACAGGCACCTGTTATCAGGCAGAGGAAGTTCCCTTCTAATTCTAGTTTGCTGAGTTTCTCAGAGATTTTATCACAAAGGGGTGTTGATTTTTTTAATGATTAAAAAAATTCAGTGCTTCTCAGGGTGTCCTAAAAGACTTGAAACCAGAAATAGCAGAAATGTTCCAAAATAAAGAAAACTGTTAAATTGCTATATATCCAAAATGAATATTTTCTTTGGTATTAAAAATCATGTCGTCTGTCAAAGAATATTTAACGAAATGAGAAAATTATTATAACATAATGCTAAGAGATAAAAGCTATATAAATCTTACGATTCCAATTTTGCATAAGTATGTATATATGAGCAGTGGGGAATTAGCAACATCCTTAAAAAATTTTATATCCTCCATGTACAGAAAGCCTGAAAGATCCAGTGCCGGGCAACTACTATAGCTCAATAAATGGTTTTTTTTTGTTTGTTTCTGTCTTTGAGACAGAGTCTCACTCTGTTGCCCGGGATAGAATGCCATGGCGTCAGCCTAGCTCGCAGCAACCTCAAACTCCTGGGCTCAAGCAATCCTACTGCTTCAGCCTCCTGAGTAGCTGGGACTACAGGCATGTGCCACAATGCCCGGCTAATTTTTTGTATATGTATTTTTAGTTGTCCAGCTAATTTCTTTCTATTTTTTTTAGTAGAGACGGGGTCTTGCTCTTGCTCAGGCTGGTCTCGAACTCCTGAGCTCAAACGATCCTGCCCACCTGTGGCCTCCCAGAGTGTTAGGATTACAGGTGTGAGCTACCACGCCCAGCCTATAGCTCAATAAATGTTATTTGAAGATGTCAAATGAAGGTTTTATAATAGCTGCTGTCTGAAATGACTTCCACTTAATTTGTTTATTAGATTATCTAATGCTCTCCATTCCTTCTGTGAAACATGTATGATGAAGTACATGGCATACTAAATGCTAGAAACAGTACTGTATCCTCCATGAAAGAACACTTCTGTTCCCCCTGGGTAAGTTATACGATGATAAGTAGTCAGCAGGTATATTTTTCCTATCTTTTCACTAACTGTACTGTCATTATAATTATGTGATACAATCAGAAATTCTATAAACTGCTGAAAACCAAGTACAAAAACAAATTTTTATAAAAACTAAGTGGATGTAATCCTAGCTCTCTGGGAGGCCGAGGCGGGCGGATTGTTTGAGCTCAGGAGTTCAAAAGCAGCCTGAGCAAGAGCGAGACCCCGTCTCTACTAAAACTAGAAAGAAATTAATCAGACAACTAAAAATATACAGAAAAAATTAGCCGGACATGGTGGCGCATGCCTGTAGTCCCAGCTACTCGGGAGGCTGAGGCAGGAGGATCGCTTGAGCCCAGGAGTTGGAGGTTGCTGTGAGCTAGGCTGATGCCACGGCACTCTAGCCCGGGCAACACAGTGAGACTCTGTCTCAAAAAAAAAAAAAACAACTAAGTGAAATGTTTTGGAAAGACTTAATAAAAATCAGTCTCTAAAACTAATTTCTGATGAATTAGGATTAAGACATTTATAAACAGGGAAAAAACTGAACTCATCTAAAAGATTTCTATACTAAGACTGTACCTGAAATACCTTAAAGCTTTTATACCACTTTAGATAAACAAAAATTTGAAATTATAGGCAATAAATTAAGGGTGTGGTTTGTATAAGAGGATGTTCCAACATACTCACAACAAAACAAAAAAAGGACTTGGTCTTAAATGAAAAGACTGGCAAATTATTAGTACATTTAAATATTTCGAATTAAAATAAAATGTTTAAGGTACATCGACTTTTATTTATGATTCCTCACCTTAAACAACTTTTTGACTATCACTACCTACTGGTCCTAACTACATCAAAAAGAGCATATCTACGGTATTTTTATAATCAGAAAGAAAGTTATTAAAATAAGAAGACATTAGTTGGGAGATTGCCACATTCCTTCCACTCTAGTAACTTACCTCATAAAGCATGAGTCGAACATCAGCCTGCTGACCTAAGCATCTCCTCAAACTATCCATGATCTCAAGGCAAAAAGTTTCATTGGCGACAGAATTGTAACGACTGTGAACATTCACGTGAACCTAAAAGGAAGAGAGCCCAGTTCATGTCTATCTTACCAAAATCGTTTCCATTAAGGCGTAAAACGAGCCTATGTTCTTGGTCAAACAAATTTATCTATCTATCTATCTATCTATCTATCTATCAAGACACGTTCTCCCTTGTTGTCCAGGCTAGACTGCTGCTGTGGTGTCATCATAGCTCACTGTAACCTCAAACTCCTGGACTCAAGCAATCCTCCTGCCTCAGCGCAGCTGGGACTATAGGCATGCACCACTACACTCAGATCATTTTTTTATTTTTTGTAGAAATGAGGTCTCACTGTGTTGCTCGGCTGGGGTCAAAGAAATTTAAACTTAGCCTTCCCCACATGCTAAAACCCAGGATTGAGGCAGATATCATAATCATTACCATGCAGTGGTAAGTGTCACTCTTATTCTGGTTTGGAAGAAGAGAATTTTCAAACATTTTAACAAAATTAACTTTTCCCTATTCCTTAAGTTTTTCTTGACAATATCAGCTGCTTAGGAAAGCACACTGATTATTTCAAGCCACTGGAATCCAGTAGTCATAATAAACGTGATTTTATTTAAAAGGCCTAAGACTTCCTTAAATGTCTTCAATAGCTAGAAGAATCTAGCTCTTTATTTCCACAAATTCCAGAGAGGTTTAGAGAAAGACAGTCTTTTGTTTAGAAATGGATATGACATCCCAGGACTGAATTTAAGGGAAAAAAGAAAAAGAAAAGAAAGAAAAAGAAGGAAAAATCTTTTTTAAAAATGTAGAAATGGACATGACAAAGGATTTGACATCCTTTGTTTGATCTACATAATACAATCGGCAATTATAGACCAAGAATTCCTAATCCTTACTCCAGGCGGTGAGGTAGTTCATACTGCCTCACGCTAAATCCCAGTTCTACCCTTTATTGGTTATATAACCTTGGGCAAGTTATTTAACCTCTCTTGGCCTCAGTTTCCTTATCCTTAAGAAGGGGATAATAATATACAAATGATACCCAGTGTTTCTAATAGTTAATCTATGCCATATGTTATAGACAAAAGAGCAATAAAGTGAGGATTCCTAATGAAATTGTTATATATTAATGTTTCCTATTTATAAATCTCACAGTACACCATTTAAATTATGAAGATAATTTTATTGCTTCAAAGCCCAGATTACCAAATTATTGTAAAAAGATTTGTTTTCTCAAATTATAAGGTTTAATCAATATGCATGTACAAAATAAATAAAGTGACATTTAAAAAGTAGGGATAATAGTATCTTGCCTCAGAGGATTATTGTGACAATTAAATGAGATAATGAATATAAAGCATTTTAGGCTTGGCATGGTGGCTCACGCCTGTAGTTCCAGCTACTCAGGAGGCTGAGGCAGGAGGATCACTTGAGCTCAGGAGTTTGAGGTTGCAGTGAGCTATGGTGATAACAATGCACTCTAGCCAGGGCAACCGAGCAAGACTCTGTCTCAAAAAAATAAATAAAATAGAGCACTTTAGCACAGTGTCTAGCACAGGGCTGTTCAAAAAAAATATAAACCGCAAATGCGAGCCATGTATGTAATTTTAAATTTTCTAGTACCCACATTAAAAAAAGCAAAGAACAACAGGTGAACCCAATTTTAATATTTTATGTAATCCAATGAGAAATAAAAATAAAATCCTAAGTACCCCAAGTACCCCAACTGACTGAATAGGCCCCCCACCCTCTTCGCCAAGGGGATCCCAGAGAAACCTTAAAACTGAGTTCCTGGCCATGATGGGATGGGAGGTCAGACACACCTGTTTATACCCCTGCCTTGTCAATCGCCATGAGGCTTTCTACCCTAAGGGTTAAACAGAACCAGCCTTCGGAAGACTTCCTCCACTGCTGATTTCAATCAACTGGCTATTACCGAACCTCCCTTTTGCAGTTAAGGCACAACTGACCTGCATTCCTTTCTGATAAGAGACCACCGACCACAAAGTGGTTTAGACTAGACTATGGAGGCTGGGCAGAGAGGGTTTTCCTGTCCTCTGTTTCACCTTTTGACATCACAAGGCCGAAAATTCCACCCTTGGACCATGCTAAGGCTCCAATTTTTTGTAACGGGACCATGAAGGGCCATGAAGCTCAACTGTGCATGCGCATGTTTCTCCTTTTATAAATATTCATGCTTCCTTCTATAATTTGTTAAATATGTATATTTGTCCACCCCGGCTCAGCATACATTCCTGTTCCCCTGGTCTTTTCCTGGAAGTACATGCTGTCAGAATGGCCACCCTGAAGGCTGCAACTCTTTATGAGAAACAGAGCTCTCCTTTCCAAATTTATGAACCTCATCATTTTCTTCAGTTGATACCAACATATACAAAATATTATCTCAATATGTAATCAACATAAAAAATTATAAGTGAGATATTTTACAGTAAATCTTCAAAATTCATTGTGAATTTTACACATACAGCACAACTCAATTTGGACTAGCCACATTTCAATCAAGAGTTCAGTTCAGGCCAGGCGTGGTGGCTCACGCCTGTAATCCTGGCACTCTGGAAGGCTGAGGCAGGAGGATTGCTTGAGTTCAGGAGTTTGAAACCATCCTGAGCAAGAGCGAGACTCTGTCTCTACTAAAAACATAGAAAGAAATTAGCTGAGCAACTAAAAATATATATAGAAAAAATTAGCCGGGCATGGTGGCACATGCCTGTAGTCCCAGCTACTCGGGAGGCTGAGGCAGGAGGATTGCTTGAGCCCAGGAGTTTGAGGTTGCTGTGAGTTAGGCTGACGCCGCGGCACTCTAGCCCGGACAACAGAGTGAGACTCTGTCTTTAAAAAAAAAAAAAAAAAAAAAAAAGAAGAAGAAGAGTTAGGTTCAATAGCCACACTGAGGACAGTGGCTACCAAAAAGTGTTAACCGATATCATCAACATCATCATCATCATCATCACCACGAGACTCTCAGTTTCAGGATCATTCCTACGAACATAATAGGAATAAAAGAAAACAGCTTGCATATCACTGACTCCTGCATCAATGCAAATACTACAAGTAAATGTGAACAATCCTTACCTGACTGACACCAATAGATTGACTGCACTGAGAGGATGACAGGCTGCCTAAAACTTTAAAGTTCTTCAGAAGCAGCAAAAAACCAGCAACTGCAGACTTTCGGGCATCAAGCTGGCTAGCTCAGGAATAGACAGAGAAGTTAACAAACACAATACTATTTCACAGAAATAAGCCTCTGGATTAGAAAAATCCAGTTAGTTCCATACACAAAAGGAGTATGTATAAACAATGGCACATAGAGCAAACCAAACTGAATTTATATGCCCAAAATAAGGCATCGGCTGTTCAAAGTAATTACCAGCAGAGAAATTTAGCTGGCTTTTTTCATTATCTCCTTAACCTCATGACACTCTGCACTTTCTTCTATCCTGCTCTCAGGTCTACGAGGAATGATAATAAGAGTGCTGAGAAGCTGTAAAATGGGCTGGTGATTCAACTGTGAGTACTGAATAGCAAAAAAAAATTGCTGATTTTTGCTATGTCTGAAGAAGTGCTTCTCTTCACGTTTCCTTTCTTCATAGAGAAGTGTAGTACTTGGTGCCATGTAAACTCTCCATTTAGAAAAATGAAAGACTCATCTCTTCACTGAGGCTCAATAATTAATTCATGTTACAGGTGCTACAACACACAATCTCAGTCTATCAGCCATGCCTTTGGGTGAGAACAAAAAATTGTCAATTCTAGAGCAAAGATACTAATAGCATGTGGCTTAGTTGTTCCTCTGGATACCCATGAGTATATTACAATATGGCCAATGTGATATTAATTGGGCATCTTATCTTCAAAGTATTAATACCAAATGCTTTTCACATGTTACTGTCTCATAACATTTTTAGGAGATGGTATTATCATCCCTAGCTTATATACTAAGAAATAAAGGAAGAGAGGTTGGGAGGCATTGGCTGAACACCAAACAGAACACAGTCCCCTCAATAATTAATTTGGTCTACCAGCCACTGGATCATAATTCTGACGTCCACTAAAATGAGATTCTTAAGTATATTCTTCTTAACTAAGGTGCTCCCCATCCTGCCTTGGAACTGTTGCCAGTTCAAGTCTTAGAGCACTGGACACTAGAACATTTCCTGAAGGTTATTCTAGGAGTATAGCAGAGCCCTTGAGATCATAAGCTCTGATGTTAAACCTGACTTTGATTCCTAGCTCCACCACCAACTATAATACTAGTTGGCCTTGGGAAAGTCACTGATTTTCTCTAAGCCTAAATTTTCTTATCTGTAAAATGGGAACTGTAATAATTCTCACTTCACAGGGTTGCTCTGAAGACTAAATGAAAAACAAACGAACAAACACATAGAGCACTTAGCACAATGCCTTACTTGATGAAAGTGCTCTGTTGGGTTAGGAATTTGCATGATCACTGTGAATAGGTGGTATTAGGAGACTGCAGAGGTAATTTTTATTCCCAACATTAGAAAGCATCCCTTCCTATGACTTTAAGGGATGCTTCATACCTGGCAAACATAGCTTTGCGAAGGACAAGTATCAAGGAGTCTCTCATCGACATGCTGACTTTCAGAAGGGGCTAAAAGACAAAGAATCAGCGGGTAAAAACAGAAGAAGTTTGCTTATTAGCCTTAGCTCATTTTTACCCAATATTGTTACCACCTCACTTATTGTTCCAATGTTTATTACACTTAATAATAAGGACACAATAGTATACTTTAAGACACCAAATTAAAACTGGTTGTGAATGCTTTTGTAAATCTGTTGCACTCAATAAATTTCTAAGAGACTTTTAATTACTTCACTAACTTGAAAATGAGTCAAAGGAGAGAGAATAGTGCTAAGAGGAGGGGGTAAACTTGGAAAACATCAAGTTCAGTGCTATAGCCCTTTTAATACAAATTCTACGTTTCAGATTTGAGAATAGGATTTTGTAGATATATATTTATAAAGAAATGTACCAGATTTCCATCAGACAGTTAAACCTCAGTTTTGGCAAGTTACTCAGGAATCTGAAGACTTACCTGCACTGCCTTAAGCAGCCCTTGTACGGTCTGAAGGGGCAGAAAAGACAAATAGTCAAAAGTTTCTGTGACTTTAGAAGAACAGCTCTGAAGAACTAAGGGTGCATACATAATGATATTTGAAAGCAGGTCTGAAAAACAAAATTTATAATCAGTTGTCTCATATAACTAAAGGTATTTGAAATAAAAGAAAAATGGATACGGGAAAACAAATGGTAAAAAGTCTTTTGCTTCCTTTCTCAAATAAATACATTGCAATATAAATTTTTTTTCCTGATTCTACATACTTTTTCTCCAGAATACTTTTAGCTTTTTTCTGTCACAGTACAAGACTACCAAAATAAACTGTCTAAAAGAAAGGAAGAAACTTATTACACTGCCTAGAAAAGTAGCACGTCTTCAGATTTCTAAGCTAAAATAAATCAGTAAATATTTATGAATTTTTATGTGCAAGCATAATATGGTCCTATCAGGAATATATAAAACATAAAACATGGTTTGTTTTCAAGAATTTTACTAATTTAGTTGAAAGTTTAAAAATTTTTTTTTATAGAATTAAAGAGGTAAATAATAGTGATACCAAATTACATAGTAGTTTCAAATATAGTTTACTGCCTACCAATGAATGGTACAGGAAGAGTTTAAACAGGAGTTCAAAGGAAGAAGGAATCACTATGAGTTGGTGAACATTAGGAAAGCAATGAGAAGGAATTTAAATTAGGTTGTGAAAGATGGGTAACATTTAAATGCATAAAGAACCAGAAAGGTTACTATATGCAAAGGGAACAGTATGAGTAAAACTACAAGAAAGGTAAGTATAAGACAAATTCAGAGAATGGTGGGGAAATCAATGGAATTCGGGTAAAGGATTCAATAAAAGTAAATCATTGAAGTTAATGTTGGAAAGGTAGGTTGGGATCAAATTGTCAAGGACTTATAGTGCCAGGAGACAAAGAACTGATAATTTATTAGAGAATATATTGATATTTTGGAGTAATAAAGTTATATTTTAGGAGTACTAATCCGGTGGTAATATGCAGGTTGAATTGCTGCAGGAAGAATAGAAAGGTGGGAAACCAGTTAGAAAGCTGTGGCAGTAGTCTAAATTCAAGGTTGTGACAGGTGTGATGACTCACAACTGTAATCCCAGCACTTGGGGAGGCTGATGTGGGAGGACTGCTTGAGCCCAGGAGTTTGACATTACAGTGAGCAATGATCAGGCCACTGCACTCCAGCCGGAGCAACAGAGCAAGACCCTGTCTTTTAAAAATAGACTTTTTTCGGCCGGGCGCGGTGGCTCACGCCTGTAATCCTAGCTCTCTGGGAGGCCGAGGCGGGCGGATTGTTTGAGCTCAGGAGTTCGAAACCAGCC